ACCAAATGACCTACGGACCAGCACCGGTCCCCAGACCGGGGGTTGGGGACCCCCGGTTTAGGTAAGTGGGTCAACAATGGCAGTCGTTTTGAGGTGTTTTAAAAACAGCCAAAACAGGAGTAAAGCAGTAAAAACTGCAAGATATCTCTTCTCAGTTTAGCCACCTAGTGGACAGACGAGGTGTTTACACCTCAACAAGTCGCTTCTTGTTAGTTATTGAGTACTTGAGTTAGAGTTAGTACTTGAGTTATTAAACTGACACTCGGTTTATTGGAAACCAGGAGGCGGTGCTAAAGCTCTGCTCACTTTCTGTTCAAGTTTTATTAAAGTAAAATGAACCAACACCAGGAATACTGGACCAGGAATTGGTCATAAAGACATCGATACCGTGCTGTCGAATATCGAAGTATTGTTAAATGAAATATCACGGTTTTATTCCGTGTATCGATATTTTAATATTTGTAATATTTGGTTCTAGCCTCAAAAAAAAAAAACCCACTGCACTTCTAGTAATTACTGGAGTCGTACACAACTGAAAATACACATATACTGTAAACCAATTTTTTTTTTTTTAAGGTATAAGAACAAGAGTTAGTTATTCCGAGGTTAGAAACATCACTCTGACTCACTGCTGCCCTCATGCTTACACTGCAAAAAATAAAATAAAATAAATAAAACCTACCTTGGGAGTTTTTTCTTCCTGTGACAGGAATGGGATCGAACTCGTCGTCCTCTGTCCCTACGTCTCCAGCGGCCGGCTGCAGCTCCAGGTCAGAGATGAGCAGAGACGAATCTGCCAAAAAGGAATAAAATAAATAAACAAAAGCACTGATTTTTCCACAGCGTTCATGAACACATCATCATCATCATCACCGCCACCGCTCTCTTTGTGGCTCGTAATGAAAGGAGACGAGCCGTAATTAGGATCACGCAGCTGCAGCTGCTGCTGTGACGAGGAGCAGGAAGTGACAGGAAACAGTCAGAGGCTTTTAGATCGCAGCTGTGGGCACAGCCGCCACAGGTAAAAAAAAAAAAAAAATTTAAAAAAAAATCAGATTTATTTTCTAGTCAAGGACGATGCAGCAAAAATAATACTGTCGTTTAAATCTGTGAGGAGAAGAAGGCAGTGTTTATACTGCCACCAAGTGGTTAAAACACACAGGGTGCTTTACATTATGTCATCTACACCAGGGGTCCCCAACCCGAGGTCCAGGGACCAGTGGTGGTCCGTAGGTCATTTGGTACCGGGCCTCAGTGGGACAAAAAAAAAATGTGTCAATGTTTCAGAACAACAGGTTTGATTTGGAAAAAAAAAAAGAGATTTTTTTCAAATGTCTGTAATTTACGTCCAAACTCGTAAAATTAAGTTCTTTTCAAATATTCAAGGTCCAATTTTAGGAAAACAAACAAACAAAAAAAAACAGTGTCCAGTTCAATCCAAACCTGTTCCACTTGGGATAAAAAATGTGACGTTGTCTCTGAATGTGAAGCTGTTTCTAAAGGGTTGGAGAAAACTGAGGTGACCTGAGGTCACCCACCG